ATTTAAATAAATTATTAATACATACAAAGCAACCATTAAACACAATTGCTTTCGATTTGAAAAATAACCAAAAAACTTTAATACATAATAAAAAATAGTTAAAAGTCTCAAACAAATACATAATAATTAGTCGATTACATGGGATATACAGCTGACTATTGAACGAATAGACAAAATAATAACAAATTACTGCCGAAAACGATACACATATGGATGAGACGATGAAAAGTTTGCAATGAATTGGCACTATTGAGACACATCTGGTAGTCAAAGTCGGACTCACTGTCCACATAGCACTGGACGGCCGGGTGGTCATCCCGGGGGCAGTGCTGGAAATGGCTGTCCACGAGCTCATTGTGCTTGACGGAGTCCTGTCGGGTGCCGTTACACTGGATGTTATGCACATAGTATGGTCTCTCGTGATTAGACGAGTTATACAACAGTCTCCTGTCGTAAAGCCATTTGAAATTACAGTCACATATGAGGGGGTTGTGTCTCAGGATGACTGCACTGCCGTTCCGACGGAATACCGGCGCGAACACCGACTTCTTCAGGTGAGTCATGTTATTCTTGGACAAGTCGAGCAACACTTTCCGGTGGATGCCATCAAAGGTGCCGCTCTCGAAGGACTGGTCGTTGAGGTCGTTATCTCTGAGAAAAAGTCTTAATAACTGTGTATTGGATCCGTCGGACGACAGCTCCAGCGCTGTGCTGGAGATCCGGTCGATGCGATTGCCGTCGAGTAGCAGATAGTTGAGCGCCGATAGCGAGTGAAAGGCGTGGGCGCCGACACTCACGATGTTATTGTCGATGAGGGACAGCCAGGCCAGCGATTTCTGGGGCCTATGGAACGCCCGGTCGGGAACGGTCGAGATGTTGTTGTCCGTCAGCCAGATCTCTGTCGCCGACTGAAAACTGTTGAGCACATCGAAGATCTCCCTATCGTTTGGCGGGTCGTTAGCCAGCACTGGATTCTCGCTGATTGTCACCGAAGTCGTGATATTATAGGATGACTTGAAGACATTTCTGTGGATCCGTCGAAGTTTCCTATTCTTCGTGATCTGTATCTTATTGAAGGCGACCCCGTCGAAGAAGTCGTGTATAGTGTCGGCGTCTGAGCCCAGGTATGTCAGGTCCGAGTCGATGAGCTTGAACTCGTCGAACACGATTTGTTTGACTCCCTTTCCCACCGATTGTGTCAAATTGACAAACACTTGGGTCAGGTTCACGTCCGACCGGATATTCCAGCACGAGATCTGATTGATATATTGGGCGCAACTGCACGGGTAGATCGCCGTCGACGGTGGGCACCGGACCCCCGCACACACGCGCAGCCATAGGGCCAGCAATACAGCGATGATTTTGATGAGAGCTGTCGGGAAATCGTAGGAAAAAAGTTTTATTTATTGGGAAAAGGTATTCACGAAAGTCTTAATACTCTGTAGAGTTTGACTTTTCTCTCGGGAGAGATAGTCATAAAAACGGTGTGTATTTAATGACATGTTTTTATAGTGTTTTTCTTAAGCAAAAAAGTTCAATAAAGTTAATCAAAAGATCATTAATGAAAAGCAAATGTGAATAATATCTTAATATTTGAGAGATACTGCGATAATCTCTGCCATGAGATCTCATTATTTATTAACGCATTTAAAGGCGTTTTTCTATGAGTTTTGTTATCATCCGATAAGGAATGGGAAATGAATTCATTGTAAAAAACTGTTTTATCATTTATTCAAAGTAGTCACGAAATATCTGGGTCCTTATGTTGAAAATTTTTGGTATAATTTAGTGATAAACACAAAAATCAATACCAAAAATAGGTCTGAATTTCTGGAAATGTGTGTCAATTTAATTGATTGATCAGTCATTTTAGGAAATTAGTCTGAATTTTAATGTTAAATATTTTTAAATGTTAGTTTAATTTATTATATGGGTGGTCTTAAAATAAAAATAATCAAATTACTAATTTATTTGATTTCTTATGAACTAATTATAAAAAAGTTTAATTTATTTTACTTGTACTTATATATAGTACAACATATTTTATTAAATTTTGTATGTTTTACAAACATTTCTCACAATTCTTGAGTTACAATCAAATATTTTGAAACTTATGTCACTTTTAGCGTAAAAATTGTATTTAATTAAATATAATTACATTTTCGCACATTACTAATGCTATAAAGAATTTGTTAAAAAACAATTTAAATGCTATATTAGGCGTCGGAAATATGTGTCTAAATGTGGGGTTCATTCATGAAATGCCATTTAAAATGTTAAAAGTATTTAATACACAAAATACAAAGCAATACTGTATAGCGAATCGAGACATTTTCCATGTTGTGTGGGATTTCACTTAATATTTTTTGCATTTTTATGTCTGAGCCGTGAATTTGTCACAAATCAATCACTGAATAAATATCGCTATATTATACGATATATATTATATAATATCCAAAATGTTTAATGTCAAGATTTTTGTTAGTTTTTAATATTTATATATTTTATACAGTGTTAAAGTCTTTCATCAGTCAATTTAATAGTAGTTTTTACTTTTTGTTGCTTATAGTCTAACATGTAAGTGCTAAAGTAATTGAAAATTGAAATATTTTTATGAATTAGTTTTATATTTTAACTTTTAAAACGTGTAGGGATCCAATGGAAACCACTTTGAAATTAAAATGATTTATCGATTCAGTCTCTATAGAAACTTATATAAGTTCTAATATATCTCGGTATATTTATACACAGTACCAATATTTGTTTGGCTATTAATAGTAAAAATCCATTAAAACACGTGTAATAAAGTGCTATAAAATATTGGATTCACAAAAGTCTATTCATTTTCGTAGAAAATATTCTTTAGGGAAAATTATATTCTTAATACCCGTATTGTTTTAAAATGTTTGTATAGAATATTCCTATCGCCCACACATACCTGATGAAAATTATATTCAACTATTTTTCCGGAATATATAATGTGCTAGAAAGATTTATTACTATTTCATTGTATGAGAAAATATAAATTTAAATGCTATTCATTAGTTTGCTTTGTTTGAAAAGTATATTTTTGTTGGCTTTTGTGTAAATAATGGTTTTTAAATCACAAAATTATAATACAATTGTAAAGATTTTTTTAGTAATATTACTAAATATACTTAAATATAATCTATGATCTCATGGTTTATTAATTACAATCACATTACAAATTGTAATTTATATTCTGTATAGCAATTGTGTGGTAAGACTTTTAAGTTAAAATCTAATATATTATATATTATTTCCATGTTTTTGCCAAAATTTATGTTCAAGTAAGTAATAACTCAAAAAACTAAAAATTAAATGTTTAAATCTTATGAGTAGATTATTATTATAAACTTAAATAAATATTTACATCGCTTGTACAACATTTTCATTGAAAAGTTTTGACATTTTGTTTATAATTAATTTTCTAACGATCATTATAACTATGTTTATATAGTAATTAAGTTTAATTTTTTACACAAAAATTATAAAAATTCTTAAAATCCTTTATTTCATGTAAAAACAAACACTAAAACACTAAGCTAATATAATCTCATCTATGTACTAAATCTAATATATTTAGAGTTAATTCATTTTATTTTATTTATAAAAAATCTATTTATGAAATATGCATCGGAAGCTGTTTTTCTCATACAAAAATAAACTATATTTACGATCTGTTTATGTATTTAACGACACATTATATTAATAACAAAACACGAGAAATAATTTTTTAACTTCACGTGAAAAACTTTACTAAAAATCCTATTTATAAAAATTGGATTTAAATTTATATTTATATTTACATACTTTTAGTATACTTGTTGTGTACATCAATGAATAGTAATCTACTTTTTAAATGTATCTATAATTACGCTAACATTTGACTTCACGTAATATTTTGTGAAAAACTAATTTTAGATACCGTTCCCATCACATAAACACATAGACTTTCCAATTGGGTGTCAATAATAGAGAGTGCATTGAAACCAATCGATTGGGGCTTTAGATTGAGATTAGATAATCGCAACTGTTTTCAAAAATGTCTATAAATTTGGTTTAAATCTTAATTTTCTACAAATTATTATTAGTATTAAAACATGTAAACTAAATAAATCAAAAGTGATAAAAAGTTATTTGTAATTAAAAGTATTTAATGTGAAAAATAACTTTTTACAAACTTCTAAATTACTTTTTTAAAAATTTTGGACTTAAAAATCTCGTATACATACCATTCATGTTTTCGTATGAAACTTATGTTAACACCGGTTAATACAACACTTGTTAAAAATTATGATAAACATTGATTTTTATATTACATTTGAATATCAATTCTTTACGCAAACAACAAATATATTACTTATTTTTCACGACTATTACAAACGTAACGAAAGTTTCTCTACACATAAAACATAAATACTATTTTCGCAGTTAAGGGCCAATATATCGGAGTAAAACCAGTTAATGTAGTATCCATTAGAGTATATACTCGTGTAGTAATCGACAACTTCTTTGCCAAACTGTGTTAAGGCTTTCATAAGACTTGTGTTTCCAGAGGTTTTCACTGCGAAAACATGTTCTGTCATACAGTGTGTGGGAAGCGAGCGATGGTGTCATACTTTCCCATCCCTTTCCCCTCCATACTATCCCTACGCTGTCTCTCAATGATCTCAAGCACTCAGAGTGTGTACACATACTCCCCAACACTCCCAACAGATTTTTATTCACAAAAATCAAACATAACTTATATATTATTTTTCATGTGATATGAAAAGTAAAGATAAATTTCTCTCTCGACTCTTATAGCTCATTGAGTCCTTACAACAAAAATTTTATATATTATAATATATATCGTAATATATATTGTATAGTATTTTATACAAAAGACAAATTTGAATTTAAATTTGCCAACAGATATTCAAATCACGTCTACTTTATGTATAATTTTGTGTAATTTGCGTATAAATTATTCTTTGGACACATAATAGACTTTTCATTTTCTCATTCATTCATATAGTTATTGACGTAAACTTTTTTCATTCATATACCGTATCACTTATAATCCTAACTACAAAACCATTGATCGATAACTAATTTAAGAAAAGGTTAGCATAAAAAATGGATTAACTCTTGTGTAAACTAATTGTTTTCATAATTTTTGTATTAATAATGAAACTTATTTTAAATGAGTTTATGTCTAAACGCCTCCACGTATTTATTAAAATATATAAATTTAGAAATATTTCCGATAAATCATGTTAACCATTATTAATTAAATCCTTATACAAATAGTCAATAATTATGTTAATGATTTATTTACTTAATGTCAGCATTATTATTATTATTATTATAGACTATTGTAAATGTAATGTTTAGTAATGCTAGCAATTTTTATGAATATTTATATCTCCAGGATGTTTACAGATGCATGCTGATTTATGTTATACAATACATTTAGGCATCAAGAATTTTTTATTTGAAAAATATATACCAGAATATATTCCTATTACATTTTTAATTCATAATCTAATATAGTAATATTTTACTTTTTAGTATACTAAATATAAAATGTATAAAAATATCTACAAATTACTAGTTTATTTCATAAATACATACGAAAATATTTATCAAAAACTACATTTAATCTAAAAAACAAGTTTACTACACATTAATGCGATAAATAAAGTCATAAAACTTAATTTTAAATGAATGTTTGGATAAATACTTGAAATATTTGAATTTCAGTCATTTATTACGATAATTGTGAGGCAATCGTTGAATAATAAATACAAATTTCATTTTCCGATCGCACAGTCTGTTGATACGACTGTCCCCCTGAAGCCATTCCCTCCAAAACTATGTAATTATCTGCCAATGAATCAGAAATTCTTACAAATTAGGAGCGGATATGAAAACAAAGTCAAATACCTGGGTCTTAAGCACCAGATACTAAACACAGTAGTAATTAAGGCATTCAATGGGAAAACGAGAGACAAATCGTGAGGGAAAGGGATGGGAAGGGATGTCATGATACAAAACTAGACTATTATTTGTGATAGACTTCTAGCTATACTACAAAAATTCTGTATATTCTATGCATTGAAACAAAAGACATCAAAAACTTTAAAAATAGGGCTTTAAATGTGATAAAAGCTCATATTATGATCACCACCAGACTTATGTTCACTTTATAATCACGTGTTATATTTTCTGATCACCACTAATGCACACAAGTATTGCACCGATTTGTCGCTAATGAACCACTTTTGCCATCCGTTCTCTTCATTGACACACTTCGAGGTCTTCAGCGACTGTCTCTACACATCTTCAGACAACTGCTGATGAGATGCCGTCATTTGGATGTGTTTAAGTTGAATGCGAAACAAGTGTTCAAAAATAATGTATGCAGAGCTTGGGATCTAATAGTCTTATGATAGCTTTCATTACAGTGGAGACTATCCGTGGGGAAGGGGTCACACATCGACCTCTCGAACCCAATCATCAACATGGATGCGACCTTAGGTGCGCTGGTCTTGGAATGACCTCTATATACAGTTCCCAAATTGAATACCCTAATTGTTTACGGATCATTTTTCTCATGGAATATG